AAGCCACTCCCACAAAGGAGGCCACACCCACAGAGTAGGTTCGAACAATTTTTGAAACCCACCACTGTATTACAAGTACATGCCATTTTAAGTACATGCATGTTGCCAAACATCCAAATTTTGATCACATGATCACAGAGGTGGTATATAAGTGTGAAAAACAGCCATAAGTCACTTTTCAATGCCTTTGTAACTTCAAGTAGCCACTAATTGAATGGTTGTTAAGTCAAGGACCACTTGTACCTACGTATAAAGAAAAAAAAATGTTACTCAGAACTTCTGTCAGAATGTTAAGCCTTTCAGTCAGATCACATATGAGATTTGGTAAATGTGTACATTTCCATTAATTCTGAGAGAAATTAAAACTCGTTTACACGCAAACAAGGTGTTCCTTGGCTGTAGCTACAATTATTTTTCAATTCTTCAAATGGTATTCGCAGTAACCTTTATTTCATGGGAAAGTGTTCTGAGCTGTCCTTTGCAGTAAGTAGAGGCTTCCATGCCTTTCAAGAGCTTACTGAAAAGATGGAATGATTGAAAACTGAATGCAGCCAACCAGACTAAAATAAAATCTGAAATTATTAAATAATTTTGGCTGATGTGCTGTCTAGCCCCCAGCTGCAATAAAGAAAGGATAAAAAGAAAGAAGCTAAAAAAAAAAAGATTAATAGCCAAAATATTCTAAATGATTGTAATAAATTGCTTGGGAAGATGGAAAAAACAAAATTTGGATAATACGGAATTTTGGACAATGGGAGTATATTTTGAATGACGGTTTTTACTTCCATCTTTATTCTTAAACTAAATAAATGCTGCTGTTGTCAGAAATGATAGAGAAGGGTTTAAAAAATATTAATATAATTAATAATAATGGATAATGGAGGGAACAATTTAATAGATCCCTGAATTTAGCAAGGGGGCTGGATTAGACAATTATATAATATATAATTATATAGTTATGACCTGTTAGATTCCTTCCAACTCAAACATTCTGATTTTATTATTATAATACCTGGAAGGTTGAATAAAAGTCTTCTTCAACATTCCCTTCATAGGCTAGCAGCTCATTTAATCCATGAGCTAACTCCTGTAAGAAAGGTTTTTGAAAATTAAAATACGCAGAATGCCCTTCTTTCCTTATCAATCCTAGAAATGTTGTGTAGGAGATCATCCGAGCAGCCACAAGCATTTCATATCAGATACCAAATGGACACTCTTACTGCAGCAAATATGATTTACATCACTGCTTTTCCTTTTGAAACGGGTTACCCATTTTTTACTTTCTGGATCAATGTTTTTTAAAAGGAAAAAAGGGGAAACTTACTCTATATTTAGTGCTTCCTACACAACTAATACTATATCTAGAAATGAAATGACACCTGTTGTTTAATAGTATAAAAGACATCATCGCAGGATCATCCAAGTAAAACTGCATAAAACATCTGCATAGGTCTTGGCAAATCCAGTTCAAACATCTGGCTGATTATGTGATGAACCATAATGTATTAAATTTATATGCTGCTCAGCTCCCAGCGACTCAGGGAGGTTTTGAACATCAACCCATGCACAGAGTTTCTTTCATCATCATACAGGGATAATTAAAAAAAAAAAACCAATGAAAATACCTCCGTTCCAAATTACCTATTTAAATACATTTCCATTATGTTTTATTGTTTTTAAAAATGGAATCTCTATAAAGTCCTTATTTTAATAACAAATACTTCTTTGAGGATACAAGTTACATAGAGCTGTAAGATCTGGGCTGCACAAATTCCTGATGACCATAGCAATAGCAATAGCAGTTNTATGCCACATTTTACCTTTCTGTTCAACATTTTTTTATTCTTACCATCAATGCATAGGAAGCACAAACACTGTGAAATCCATAATAAAATGCAGCAAACTGTTTGTAGATTGATTTATTGAGAAGAAAGTCTACGTAAAGCTGCACATACTCTGAAAAAGAAAATAGTTCAGATTTTCTTTTAGCCAATATTAATCACAGATGTTTACTGCAGTGGAATCTGAAACTCTTAATATTCAGTTTTTAAAATTAGTGTATTATTATCGGGATTAACTTTGAAAAGAGTTCAAATTAATTCAAATGACTTTTACATTATATTATACTATACCTTTTCTATTTTCATTGGTAACTGGTATTTTATCCCCATCAGGCTTTAAATCATAACACTTTATGACACCAAATTCCTCTTGAAAAACCTGACAAGACAAGATATTCTAGTGAGATGCAGCGACAGACTAAGATTGGAAATTAAATCTGCTTATTATTCTTTTTCCCCCTCACAATGTTGCTGGGAGGATAAAAGCGATCAGAGGACATCAAGCATAGTGTCTCTTGAGCCCCTGAAGAAAAAGTAGAATATAAGTGTAATGCAGGAAGTCCTTGGTTTACAAAAATTGAGCCCCCGAATTCCCATTGCTAAGCAAGGCAGTTGTTAAGTAAGTTTTGCCCCATTTTACAAACTTTCTTGCCATAGTTGTTATGTGAATCTCTGCAGCTGTTAACACATTAAGTGAATCTGGCTTCCCCATTGATTTTGTTTGTCAGAAGGTTAAAAGGGGATCACATAATCCCGTGACACTGGAAGTATTATAACAGAGGTGGGTTCCTACCAGTTCGCACCTCTTCGGTAGAACCGGTTCGTCAAATCTACCGAACCAGGTTAGAAGAGGTTCCACCAGTGGACCCGGAAAGCAGGCCACACCTACAGAAGAGGTTCCAAA